TTGGATCCTCCAACGCCTCTTGGATGTTTGAATTATATTATTTTGAAGAAATTATTAGTTTTTTCAAACAGATTCCTGAGTGATCCTGAGAAAAAAGTAATTATTTTGAAAATGTAAGTGGTATCAAACATGAAAGTCCTTCAGCTTTCTCACTGGAAAGGAAAGCAGCGATTTTGTCTTCTCTTCACTCTCTTAAGTTGCCTTCCCTTTCAATCACAAAATACCCTTTTGACTGAACCAATCCTACATTCCTACCACATTCTTTTGCAACTCCACCCTACTCCAACTTCGTCACATTTCTTCCCAAACTAGGTTCTGCCATAATATTCATTGGATTGATTGGTCACTCTCGGGGGTTCTTGTGTTTTTGTTTGAAAAGGCTTGGTGGTGAAGGTTTCAGTTATGCAGCACAAACTTGTATTTGTTTTTTTCTATCTCTTTTCATTTTCATTTTGAAAGTCAGGGAAAGATGTAAGACATTGTCTACAACCATTTCTTCAGTTTAGGAGAAGAAAATAATTTCTTTCTTCATCATTCAACTGAAAAATTACAGAGAGAATAAATAGGCAGAGGGAGAATCAATTAGAGAGATTCTCTCCCCCAAACAAATTACAAAATAAATTAAATAAGTGAAAGCAAGGGAAAGATCAAGTTAGAATCAGGGACACAATCAGACATGATTTTATTCTATCCTAACTTTCAAACAACAAAATATTTACACAATCTCAACACCCCCTTGAAGTTGGTGCTATATATTTTCAACATGCCCCCAACTTGCTTACAAGAAACTAAAAGTTTGGTCTAAACAGCCCTTTAGTAGGACTGTCTGCCAACTGTTGTGAGGTTGGAACAAATGGGATGCAAATAATTCCTTCTTCAACTTTCTCTTTTATAAGCATCTATCCATTTCCACATGCTTGGTCCGGTCGTGCTAGACAGAGTTTTGAGATATACTTATGGCAGGCTCGTTATCACAATAGAGTTTAATAGAGAGAGTCATAGAAAGCTGCAATTCTTCAAGGACTCTTTTCAACTACAATTTCACACACTCCTTATGTCATGGCTCTTTATTCGGCTTCAAGACTACTCCTTGCAACTACACTTTGTTTTTTGAATTTCTGTCTATAACTTAGCCAACCCAGTCAGCATCAGTGTAGGTCTCAATTGTTTGCTGTTCAGTCTTCTTAAAAAATAGCCCTCTACCAGGAACATTTTTCAAGTATCTAAGAATACTGTAGACAACGTTGAAGTTTTCTTTACAAGGAGAGTGCATAAATTGACTGACAAAACTCACAGCAAATGCAATGTTAGGACGAGTTTGAGATAGATAAATTAGTCTTCCTACTAACTTTTGGTACTTGGAAGTGTCAACCGGTTCACTTTCCTGGTTATTTCCAAGCTTGTAATTAGGCTCATTTGGAGTTTCAGCTGGTTTACATCCACTCATTCTAGTCTCATTGAGAAGGTCTAATATGTATTTCCTTTGAGAGAGGAATGATACTCGGAGGATGCTAGAGGAGTGCCCCAGGTAAGCAGGAATCCAGTGCGCTTATTGGCTTGGTAGGCCTTGCTCCTCCTGCTTTAGTCTGCACTATGTTCATGTAATCCAATAGGACACACTTTTTTAGCATAAAGCCTATCTCTCCCTTACACACTCTCATGAAAGGCCTTTGTCCCAGGATCCTATAATAACTGTTCCTTTTCCTATTTTTAGCCAATGCATTCAGTACACACAGTAGCTATAGGGCTGTCATACAAGGAGCCCAATGACCAGAGCAGTCTATAACTTTAGAAAGTAAGATGTATTCAGAAGTAGGAACTAGGGAGCAGCATCTTTTTGTCTTATTTGAACCAAGAAATAGTGTAAAGAGGTCACATAGAGGAAGACAATCATTCCCCCAGAGACCAGCAGCCTTACCTGCGGAGTTTACTCTCCAAGTCCTGAAAAAATTCCGGATTCTCAAGTGTGTGCTTCACAAGTTTACGGACCCTCTTAATTAGTAAGTATTCTGAAACACATAACAAGGGCATGAATCCTCTCATGGTATATTTTTACATGACAAGGTCAGATGAAAACTGAAGAAAAAAAGATACAGAAAACATAAATAAGGTCCCATAAATTTTGGAATGGTGTCTTTGTGTCTATTTCATTTTCATATGAAACTTCACAATTTATGTCTAAATGTCCTGATCATAAAAAGAGCAAAGATAACTTTTGGAATAATAAAAGATGAGGATACTCAACCATGCATCGGCAGAAATCCATTATCTGGATTTTGGAGTATTCATACAGTTATTGTTCTCCAAGTTGTAATAAGTCAGGTCCATGAGACTAAATGGCAGAAGGGTTATATTCCCATTCTATTTGGATCTGGAAATAAATGTGGCTCATAATTTTAAATATGGTTAATTACACTCACACCTCTTGAGGCTTAACAAAATTTCACCCAATATCCCTCCTTTTATGACTCTACACAAGCCTCCCTTAATTTTTATAACAACATAATACCACATATCCTTCCTGATTACACAAATCAATGCTGACTTTTTAAGCAATTATGTGAATTAGGAGAGCTTTAAGTAATCTAAAACAGGGAGGACTATTAGGTGAAATTTTGTTAAACCTCAAAGGGCATGAATATAATTTTTCCTTGTAAATATTTAGTAAGATCTGAGATGAATGTATGTCAGCAGTATAATTAGCAAATTAGCAGTAGCAAATTAGCAGAAACAGAAGCATCTATAAAAGATATTCTAGGTATGCATATTGCAACAAATAATGTGTTATAAACCTTAGGCCTAGATGTGAAAGAACCCTTTAGAGAATAGACTTATCCTTGATAGAGCCTTTAATTAATTTTGAATATATTTGCATGTCCTTTATTGAATATTGTCAGTCTTTTTGTAGACTGATAATTCAATGGCGAGAAATCTAATTGATACGTTTTTGTAGCAATTAAAAAAGAAATAAATCCTAAATCATGATAATAATATGATTGTATCTAATAAGATAAAACAAAATCCTAAATGATGATCTTATCAATTAAAAGAAAACAAATCCTAAATAAAGTAAGGAGATTTTGTAAATAAAGGAACTATACAAACCTTTATAAGGAGTATCCTGCCTCTACTCCTAGCTAATATGAGACATCTTAGCACACTCTGTTCACGCATAGAGCTAGACATCTGGTGTGTGAAGTTTGAAGGATTAGACATCTATAGTGGCCCAATAGAATTGAATAGGCCTTAATACTATATTAGGAAACTTAGGCTTAATTCACTCCTAAAAGCTAGCTCATACGAAAAGGATTACATAAGCCCTTATAAGGAGTATTCTGATTTTATTCTTAACCAATATGGGATATTTTAATAGTTCCTATTAAATTTGTCTAGTAGTCCTATCTTTATGGGGAATATGGTTTATCATTTTAACTAATATATCTGACACTAATGCTTCATCAATTTACTCTAGTCACTATGGTGGTGTATAACTGGCTTTTCCACTTTTCTTAACTTTTTCTCTATTTATTAACTTTGTGGTTACATTAACTACTAAATTTTTTGTAATCATTGAAAGAAATACATCATTTATCATTTACACTATTTAGAAGTTAGAGCAATTCCATCTACATGTGTTTTGCAACAAGAATTTCATTTCTTAGGAGAAAAAGAGAAGAGGAAGTGAACAGGCAAAAAAAGAAAACCAGAAATACAAAATCACAAAACTTAAAATAAAGAAATGAACATACCTATTTTCATACATTAATGCTTCACCATGATGCCAGAATCTTTGTCTCACGTCTATGATGTCTGAAAACCATGTAAATCAGCTTCTGCTGTACATTATAAGGATTTCTAAATAGGGAAGAAAATTTAATTTTGTATGCCACCTTCCAAACAAAAAAAGGCTTCAAATTCCTCACCAAGTTGGTGCTCATAAATTGTCAACAAATGATGACTCACAACATGTTGACATTTCACTACTTCCTCTTTCATGGCTTTCTCTAAAAAATGTTGAAACTAAATAAAGATTTGAAATTATAAGTTTATAACGATGTATTAGAAGGCCAAAAACAGTCAAAGAGAAATAAAAGAACTAAAGGGAACATGGTGATTAGTCCAACTGTTTTTAATTTTTAATTTACCAATTAGAAAATGAATTTGGTCTAAGGAGAATGCTAACAAGTGCCCTTAGGGCACTGTCAAAAATCAAGAGTAGAAAGTTTGTAAGCCTAACTCAACCTCAAAAGTTAGCTTGTACGATGAGTATTGTTTTAGCTTTTATAAGCTCTTATTTAGTCATATTTATGGTTGATTTGAGACTTCAATACATCCCCTCACATTCAAGATTGGATATCTAGAACGTGAAAATTGAGGGAAAATTGAGGGACTACTTTTTTTTTAATATAGCACTAGATAAGACATAGGACCAAGTAGGTAACACACTGTGAGACCAGGTAAGCTGCACTTGGAAATCCATAGGACCAAATTAATTGTACTGGAAAAATTGTGGGGCCAGTTAGATTATTTTTTCAGTTAAGGGTGACCCAAAATAGGATCTACGATGGGTTCTAATACAATGTTGAAATCCAATGTTGATAGATATGACTAAACTAAAGTTTGTAAAAGTTAAAGTAATTTCACCTTACAAGCTAGAATTTGTGGTTGAGTTAGGCTTCAAGCCCAAATCCAACACACTCCCACTACATTTCTAATATAAACTTTTTATTTATTGAATCAATAACCAGTTCTCTTGGGGCACTCATCAGATGGGTCCTTTATTCAAAAGCTCTCAAGTTGGTTTCCCATGTAGTATGGGGCAAGTAGCTTACGAAAGTTGACTCGTTTAGGTCAGAAGGAATAACCGAATATGAATATGCAGATGGAATTATGCTCAATAATGTTATCATGTTTATCATTGCATTGTCTCTTACAAGTTATGGTCAATGGCAATTGACAAAGCCATTTCTGCAATGGCAAACTCCAACAGAGGTAGGTCACTACCAATAATCACCACAAGAACATAATCCATCTGAAAAGTGGTGAAATCGCTTTGAATCTCTGATAATGATAGTACGCTTCTCTACCAGGGAGGTAAATTTTGCAGTGTTGTGGCAATCACGGCATATTCTGAGATTTTTTACTATAACTAATGGCACATCAGCCCTACTAACCAAAAGTCCATAAGCAAGAGCTATCTTCTCACTGTGCTTATTGATCATATCTGTTTTCACCTCTTCATCAACATCGTGGAGAATGGGTTCAGTTTCAGACACAAAGCCAACCTCTTGAATTTTTCTCATAAGCTCTTCCAGTTTTTTGTGTATTTTATCTGAATCAGAGTGAGAATAATCATCTACCACAAAACGGTGAATTTTATTCTCATGCTCAATAAAACTGCATCCAGGGTTTCTTGTAAGAACTTTAGTCTTCATTAAAGCCCTCATTTTCGCTGCATCACTCCACAGACCAGCAGCAGAATATATGTTGGAAAGCATGATATAGTTTCTTGGGTCTGAAGGATCTAATGCAATCAAATTCTCCGCAGCCTCCTTCCCAAGATTAATGTTACGATAAACCCTACAAGCACCAAGAAGGGCACCCCAAACACCAGAATTTGGCTCTAATGGCATGTTTTTTATCATCTCATGAGCATCATTGAGCAGACCGCAGCGGCCAAGAAGATCAACCATACATGAATAGTGATCCATTCGGGGCTGAACTCTGTAAACATCAGACATGATTTGAAAGTAGTGCTTCCCTTCCTTGACAAGCCCTGAATGGCTGCAAGCACTTAACAAATGAGTAAAAGTAACATGGTCAGGCTCCATACCTTCCTTTACAGACCTTTCAAAGAACTCTATTGCTTCTTTCCCACACCCATGCATGGCATACCCTGCAAGCATTGCTGTCAATGCCACTTTATCAGGCTTGTTTATCTCTTCAAAGACCTTATGAGAAACATTCAATCTCCCTAACTTTGAGTACAAGTTCAAAAGGGCGGTTGCAATTGTTATATTTTCATTTAGACCACAGGAAAAGATTGCACCATGTATGGCCTCTACCAATCTTCCTAAAGGCAAAATTTCACAGGCTTGAAGCAAGCTCACCATTGTGGCTTCATCAGGAAAAAGCCCATTCACCTTCATCATATTAAAATAATTAAAAGCTTCACGAGGGATTCCATTCTGTGTCCAAACAGCCACCATTGAATTCCATGACACCACGTTCTGCTCTGGCATAGCCCAAAACAGCTTGAAAGCAGACTCAACACAACCAAACTTTCCATACATATTAATGAGAGCATTAACAACCTTCACCGCCAACTCCATACCCAATTTCACTGCACAACAATGAAGATACCAACCTTCATCCCGAGCTCTCGCATAAGCACAAGCTGAGATAACAGATATGAGCGAAAGCTCATTCAATATCAATGCCATTTCATATTTCATCGCAGAAAACATACTCATGCAATTACCAAGATCTCCCTTTTTCGAAAACCCAGAAACCAAAGAGTTCCAAGAGACAAAATCCTTGTATGGCATTTCATCAAACAAATTCTGTGCATCTGGGGTGGAACCCATGTTAAGGTAGCATGAAACCAACTGATCACCAATGAACCCATCTCTGAAATCCAGTGATTTGATCACTTGGGCATGAATGACCCTGCAGCAGGAAACAGAAGATGAAGATTTCAGAGCAAGGAGCAAGGTGGAAAGAAGAGAGTCACAACGGTATGAAGAAATGGCATAAAAGTGAAGAGAGGTTTCAAAGAGAAGGGAATAACATTTGGGAGGAGGGAACAAAAGTTGGAACGTGAGAAGTTTTGGTGCATGTGGTAGTAACTTAGGACTAACGAATTTTGCATGGAACAACCTTAACATATTAGTTTCATGCAAATATTTTGTGTCGTAAAAATTTTATATGCTCGGTTTTAGTGCCATGCAACTATGCAGAAATTTCTATTAAAACCTTATGACTGGGATTTATAAGGATCAAGTATAGGGGTACTGTGTGTTTTTCATGTCAATCACGAAGCTAAAATAAGTCACACGGAGATTGGAACTTTGCATATGTCACGCACATTAATTCATGTGTTACTTAAATACCGTTTGAACTATAACGGGCATGCTAAGCTTGCATGTTAAGCGTCATTTAGAGTGTAATAAGGTCAACGAATTAGGGTGACATGATACTTTAATCCTTGAACGTTGCATATTTAGGGTATCATTTTTTCTATGAAAAAAATAGTAGCATAGGTGGGGTCCACTGTTTTCTATTATATTTTATGCTTGAAAAGGGAAGTACATTCTCACACGTGTGCCACTTTTGTTTTTCAAATTGCTCGTAGAGGAACACCAATATTTCAAACTAGTTTCTCAATGAATTAAGGATTCACCCCCCCCCCCCCCACCCCCCACATCTGCTATGTGGTTATAATAAGATAAGTGGAACGAAGAGAAAAATAAATAAATAAATAAAAAAGAAAGAGTATCATTTCAATTATTATTACAAAAGTTATTAGTATTTTTGTCATTAATTTTATTGTTAGTAACTACTCTCTAAAAAGTTATTGATTCTGTAACAAAACAAGTTGTATTTGACGATGCAAGATAATTTGGTAGTTCCCGAGGATGAAAGAGAATAAATCTTTGCCTGTATATAGTGTTGAAAGGGTGTTATTCACTAGACGTTGCCATGTTTCCATTTTTTATGTTTAGTGTATGATTGTGTTTCTGAATAAACCTTCGCCCTGTATATACTCATGCTGCCGTCATTCAGTCCGAGGAATTTTTTTCTTGTTTTGTGGTTATTTATTCGAAGGATTTCTTTTCTCCTCGATGATATTTCTATATTTTAATCTTGTCTGTCTGATTATTTTTAGTTAAGAGTATTTATTATAGTATTTTTTATTTTCACAATTTTATGCTAAGTTAATGTCGCAACCAAGCGATCACAATAGTATGGCAAAAACGTGTTTAAGAACAGTATATTTGAAATTAGAGGAGTCGTTACTAAAATTTATTTTAAAAAAAAACTTTTTTAAAATAATATGATATTTGAAATCAAAACTGAGTTCGTGAGTCATTTATGCGTAAGGAATATATTAACATCCTACAAATGTCCGTATATAAACAGTTACCTTAAATTAATTATGCAAATTTATTTTAATTTATAACGTATAAAGGTAGAGCCACTACACATTAGCATTATAAATTATTTCGTTAATAAATCAATTTAGATTAAATTAATTAATTTATTCATAAATTAGTAATTAGAAGGAAAATATATCTTGATTTATTATTAAGGTGGTTAATTAATTAATTAAAGATAATATATGATAAATTAATATTGCATAAAGTCTTGGTAACATAGATATACATAGACTTTATCAATTTATAATACATGACAATAGAAAAGTTATATGTTAGTATTATAAATTGATACAATTACAGTAGAAACTCTTTAAATTAATAATGTCAGAATCGGAGAAATTTATTAATTTAGAAAGTTATTAATTTATCGATAAATTAATAATTATTAATTTAAAGAATTTTTAAGTAATTATACTGTACATACCAAACAAAAAGGCAAATTAATCTATGTCTCTTAGAATTACGTTGCAGCGAACCTTGAGACTCAACGTACAATAAATTAGTAACTACACTACATATGCATTGGAAATCAATAATGACTTTTGAAGTACAGTAAATGTAAACAAGAGGAACAAATGTGTTCAATGTATTCTTAAGCAAGTTTGGCATATATAAATTACATGAATGTGTTAGAGTATTCAAACCATATCTCACAAGATGACTTCTCATCTAAAAGGTGTTGCAAAATCAACTATGTTAGATCAAATACGTAAGGAGTTGTGTGAGTATAAGAGAGATAATCCTGCAAGCACACAAAAAGACTTGTAGAGATGACTTGAGAAAAAATTTCAGTTGAAAGTTAGTCAAGGAACAATATCAAACACACTTAAGCGGTCAGATGACTATCTCTCTGCTAAAATAGAAAAGGGAAGAGCAGAGATGAAAAGACACAAACTAGCAAAATATCCTGACATGGAGAAGGTTGTTTATGAGTGGTTTCTCCAGCATCAAGAACGTGTGAATATCACAGGAGAATTAATTTTGCAGAAAGCAAGAGATACAATGAAACTCGTGTACCCTCATGATGATTCAAATTTTAACTTCTCTATAGGATGGCTTAGGAAATTCAAGCACCTACATGGCATAAAGTCATTTCGTCGTTTTGGCGAGAGTGGGTCTGTTGATATACAAGACATGGAGCAGAAATTGGTATCGATTCGGGAGAAAATTGATCAGTTCCCTATGAAAGATGTTTTCAATATGGATGAAACTTGGTTGTTTTATAGGCTACAAGCTGATCATTCACTGGCAATAAAACAACTTGAAGGAAGAAAACAAGATAAAGAAAGGCTGACGGTAGTTTTTTGTTGCAATGAAGATGGCTCTGAAAAAATCCCTCTATGGATTATTGGGAAATATGCAAAGCCTCGTTGCTTCAAGAATGTCAACATGAATAGCTTGAATTGTCAGTATCGAGCTAACAAAAAAGCATGGATGACTAGTGTGCTTTTTGATGAATATGTTCGTTCATTTGACCAAATGATGCATGGTAGAAGAGTTCTACTTGTGGTGGATAATTGTCCAGCACATCCAAGAAATATTGAAGGGCTAAGAAACGTTGAGTTGTTCTTCTTGCCGCCCAACATGACATCAAAGATTCAACCTTGCGATGCTGGGATAATAAGAGCTTTCAAAATGCATTACCGTAGAAGGTTTTACTGCAAAATATTGGAAGGTAGGTGGGACAATCTGATCCAGGGAAGATAAATGTCCTTGATGCTATCAATTTGGCAATCCTAGCTTGGACGATAGATGTTCGAAAAGAAACAATAGCGAATTGCTTCTGACATTGTAAAATTCGTTCAGATAGTGACGTTGCAAGAAATTTGGATGAATCCACTTTTGATGAAGAAACTCAAGACCTCGAGACTATGATCAATCAATGTGGCTATCGTAATAAGATGGATATCGACAATCTAATGAACTACACAGGTGAAAATGAAGCATGTTCGGAAGTTCAGAGTTTAGAAGATATTGTGGGTACTATCATTGAGAACAATGCAAAGGATGACGACGAAGATGATACAATGTCTTTGGAACCTGTTACGCGAAAGGAAGCACTTATGGCGTCGAACACTCTTCACAACTTTATGATACAATACAAAAATACAACACTTGAGCTATTGGATGTAATAAGAAAAGTTAAAGATGAGCTCCAAATAGACTTGAACTTTAAAGGAAAACAGACAACTATTGAATCATATTTCAATAAAGTGTAATATATTTTTTTTCAGTTTCTATAAATTATTAATTTATGATTTTCTTAGGACCGAAAATTATAAAGGGATCTCCCGAAAAATTATTATCTTATTATTTTATCGAGTTTTTCAATTTTTTATATTGGCCCAAGTCGGGACCGGATAAATTTATTATTTTAGAGAGTTTATTAATTTATCGAGTATTAATTTAAAGAGTTTCTACTGTAATTTGGTTTTATCACCAAATTTAATTGTACTGCAACAAGGTTAAAATGAGTTATAAATTTAGGACATGAAATGATCAAATTATACTAAAAATAGTTTAGTGGAAGCAAGTGAGACCACTTTTATAAAAAAATCAATTAAGTGAATTCTTTCTCGAAGACGTAATTAATATTAAATGTTGTTATGTCAAAAATTTATTTGTTCATATATTTGAAGTATGTTTAAATAGAAGAATATTATTTTATTATTTATGATACAATATATATATATATATATATATATATATATTTTAACTAATTATAAAATAAATATTATATTATAAACTTTCAATTGAAAATGATTATAATTAAATATATTTTAAATTTGATTTTACAATATAATACATAGTTGGTGCACTAGTTTTTTGTAAAATTTAAATTTGATCTGTGTATTTGTATTTTAAATTTAAAAAAGAAGAAGAAAAATGATGCAACAAACAATCGTAAGATAAAATCTTTTAAAATCTCTTTTTGTATTTTTTTGTTGGAAAATTAAATAATATAAATAAAGAGATAAGATCTTTTTATATTGGTGTAAATATAAAAACTTTTATACATGATTTAAACTTTTTATTTAACTTATATCTAATATATTATAATATATTATTTCACTAACCATCAAATGTAAATTAAATAAAAAGTTTATATTAAATATAATAATTTTTAAATTTATACTAGTGTGAAAAGTTTCTTTCTTGTAAATAAAAGTAGGAGAGAGAGGATTTGACGAAAATCATCATGTGTTAATGATATGCAATTTTTATCATTTTTTGTGGAGATGCATGGGTAAGCAATTTTGTTTTGGTGGGTCTCAACATATCAATAAATGCCAAAGTATTTGCTTTCAATTTTATTAATGTTATAGATATAAGGATATTTTTAACTTATATAATATCACACGTAATAAAAAATTATAAAATTTAATATTTTAATAGTATTTTTGCTAATGAACAGGGCTAGACAGCCCCAAAAAGTTATCTTACAAGCCTAGGATACCATGATACTAAGGAAAGGAAGAAGAGGAGGAGCCTTATCAAACACAACAAAAGGCTGCCCAAAATCATCCTCAATTTTTGCCAACCAGTAAGCACTTTGATTGGCCTCTCTAAGAACATGATTAAATCGAATAAACCTAATTCTCTTAGCCAATTCTCTAATCTCACTAATAATAGAAAATAACAGATGATTACAATGAGAAAAATTGACAATAAGAGAAATAGCCTCCTTAGAATCACATTCCACCCAAATCAAATTAATTTTGCATTAGA